GCACGTTAGGATCGAGATTGAGTTGACTGAGTTTAAAGAGTGAACGTTTATGAGGAACTTTGTCGAAAGCTTTGCAGAAATCTAAAAAAACACAGTCAATCTGGGATCCACGGTCAAGTATGGAAAGTACATCATTAGTGAAGGTCAGTATAGTTGGGTCTCACATGAAAGGGATTTACGAAAACCATGTTGGGATGGAGAAAAGAAGGAATTAGCGTCCAAGTAGTTAACCAAATGAGTGAAAATTATGTGCTCTAAAATTTTACAAGGCGTGCTGATTAAGGAAATGGGGCGATAGTTAAGAGGACTCTGTTTATCGCCCTGTTTATGGAGTGGAATCACCTTCCCTATTTTCCACTCTTCAGGCAATACACCAGATGCAAGAGATTGATCAAAAATCTTAAAAAGGCAAATTGCGATTTAATTTTTAGTATTCTTAAGGAGTGTGGAGGTGACATTATCTACTCCAAAAAACGAAGATGTTTTTAAGTTATCAATCAAATTTAAAATTCCGTCATAGTCAATCACAAGAGGATCCATGGGCAAAAAGTTATAATTAGGGTACACAGGGTGGGAGCGAACATCATCTACACAAAACGCTTTTACAAAAAAAAATGTCCTTTAAGATGGAGGCACACTGGTCATTTGGAATAACAACACCATTATTAGTGAGCGATATATCGTTCGTTTTGCTTCTATTCATAATACGCCAGAACTGTTTAGGACTAGACAGTAACATGGAGGGTAAGGTCACATTAAAAAATGTTAGTTTAGCGTCCTTGATAGCTAGTTTATACGCATCCTCAGCTGCATGATAGATTTCCCAACGTGCGTCACTACAAGAAAGCTTTGCAGAACGAAACAAACGTTTCTTTTTGTTGTTAAGGCGCTTAAGTGTTACATTAAACCATGGAGACAAAGAATTTGTTTTAATGGACCTATATGGAATGAATAAGTTAATTAGAGATACTAATTTATTTTTAAATATTGACCAATTGCTTTCAACTGAGCGTTCAGAAAAATTAGGAAGGATTGGCGATACTTCGAAGAGCCTTTTGAAACCTTGTATATTTATTGTTTATCCTTGCTTTTAAACATATTACATCAGCGACGCAAAAAAATGTGTAAAACAAAGATTACCTACTGAGTGCTCTTGGCCATCTATCAGTACGTCTTTCGGTAGCCTTGATAATTTTGGCTTATTATCGCTCGCAATACTAATAATACATGAAATAACAAAATATGTGAAAACTTCACCATCTGAATGCTATTGGAAACCTTTCAGTTCATCTTTTGGTGGCTTTGACTGTTTTTGCTAATTATCAGTCGCAATAAAGATACATAATAAAACAATAAAAAGTTGTGTAAAAAATAATCTTCATACTCTTTGACATCTTTACTTGCGTGGTAGCTTTGTACATTTTTCGCTGATTATCGCTCGCAATAAGATTGCTTTAGCGAGAAAAAAAATATGTGCAAAAGCAATACACTTCTTAATATAATTCAGCATATTTAGAAACGGTTTGGTAGCTTTCATCATTGTTTGCTTATTATCGCTCACACTATTATCCCATCAGCAAAGAATGAAATATGCGGAAAACAATTAAGATAACCTTCCGAGTACCGCTGGCTTTCTTTTTGGTGTCTTCTGGAAGCTTCGTTGCAATTTTCGCTGACTATCGCCCTCAATACTATTACATCGGCAAAGAATAAAACTGTGCAAGAAAGATAACCGTAGCAGTAGAGTTGACCATTTCTTCAGAAAGTCTTTTGGTACCATTTTTCTCTGATTGTCACTCGCAATATTATCATATTGATAATGTAGAAAAGGCCAATGAGGGTCGTGAAAAGTCAAATTGTCGACATCGACTCTAGTTTCCTATCCTATGTTGATCAAAGGGTTGTTTTATGTTATTTTATGTTATTTTCACAGAAAACACAGTCGAGGTACAAATGTTTATTTGTGTAAATATTGTAGAACGCGCTCCAGATAAAATTGGAATAGCTATTTTATCGAGTTATTTTTTGTGCTTATTAAAATTCTTTGTTTGCGATAATAATATTTACAATAACATAGATAAAACGTACAAACTCCGACTTTTTGCATAGATCAAAAAGTATTCCTGCGAGGGCTGTTTTTTTTTTTTTCAAAAGCGTCTCGAATTGCGCCAGTTCGTCTATTCGAAAAAAAAATTAAACTCAGGTTAAAGCACAACATAATTTATTTGGGAGCACATTCACGTTTTGATAAACAACTTATTATCTTTACACCAACCAAAAAATAAGTTTATCGCGCAAACTATAAAATAAAAAGGTTTCTAGCATTCCGATCGCATTCTTTCTTTTTTTTTATTTCGGGGTTGATGCAAGCGGCGTTTTATATATGTCATTCAAAAGCCTAATTGGCATTGGAGTAGCACGATATTATAATAAATATCAAATAAAGATTACGAGTTTTTTGTCGATTCCACTGTCTTTTTCTGCGACTTATCGCGGCACAATTTATTATTTCGCGCACTTACCATTATACGACCGTTATACGGATGACCGTTATAAGACTGTCTGTTACATGACTGACGATTCGTGCAAATTTATCATTTAAAAATAAATTCACGAATTTAATTTTATTAACACCAAGATATTTCTCATCGAAAGATTACAAAGAAAGAGTAGATAAAAGTTTTATTACAGAACTGATACATTAAAAAGATACGCAGCTATATCTGTTAAATTCACAGTCTAATACAGTGAAGATGTTCTTTCATTGAGATTGCGCCGGGACCCGACGACGGAGGCAGCTGATGGTCGCTGACGGAAGAATAAATCAGACAGGACTCCGCTGATGAGAAAAAAAAAACACGTCTATTTACAAGCCAAGCTAATTTCCGAATGTCTCGCAAAAGGTTACAGCACGTGCTGTCCTTGTCTTCTTCTCTTCTCAAAGCGTCCCCTGCCCCAGCTCGCACGAGCATCGCCAGTTCACCCACACAAAGGGGCACACGTGCAAACGCCAACACGCAAAGGAAAAAAAATGAAGCTCGGTCCTGTTCCCGCGTCCACTCACGGTGATGGCGGGGCCGATTTTCACACCTCCCGACTAAGTATATTTTTTAGACTCAAAATGTCAAAAATAATATATAACAACTAAAGTCAAACGCGTACGCATATCAGACACACCTTACACAGAGTTTGTGACTCAACCCGTCAGAATCCAAACTATCGAAAAAATTTACACCAAAATGCAAAGCACACGCCAGTAAAGTGATTCTTACTGTGCCCGCCAAGGCTCCAAAGCAGTGACCAATCTTGCGCCGAGACTAGCGCAGCATCTAGCCTCCTAGCCTAGGCCTTTTTGCCGACAGAAGTGCACAGACACAGCGCTGTGTCTGTGCACTTCTTCTACTCGTCCTTCGTCGGTTTTTCCTGCGCTGTTCCCACCTATTAAGATGCTTAACCAACTCGCCCAACTCTCTGCCGTGTTGAACCTCATTTCTTGTACAGCGCTGTGTCTGTGCACTTCTTCTACTCGTCCTTCGTCGGTTTTTCCTGCGCTGTTCCCACCTATTAAGATGCTTAACCAACTCGCCCAACTCTCTGCCGTGTTGATATTCAAGCCACCCAGATTTCGGCGGGGCTTGAATCGGACGGTGTGTAGCTGGTTCCGGAATTTCTCCGCACAAGAGCGACGACAGTTTATACTCTGCCTAGATTTACGAATTAGGAAGGGGCCTCGCAGGCGGTCGCCGTTGTCGACGTCTTCTGCACTCCCAGCTCTCTCATACGTGGCCGGCTGGCAGGTGGTCGAGTCTTCGTTGGCGTCCCTAGCTATATTCTGGGACACATTCATCTCGAAGACGATGTACTCGTCGCTGTCCCCGCTTTCCCTGACATCTTCACCGGCCGGCTGTGACGTCAGCCACCCTAACAAGATGTCCGACTTCTTGTCGACACCCACACTCTCAGAAAAAAAGGTGTATTATTACACCCCGTGTCCCATATAATACACCCCAAAACTTCAATTCGACGTACAGCGCCCCATAATCGAACAGACGGCCCCAAAGTTTACGGGGGGCTTGGTAGCCGTGTGGTACAACTTATTAAGATAGCTGATATACGTATTATTGACTACAAAAAATATTATCGGAGTTTTCTTGGCCGTACTGCAAAAACTCCTTGTTTTCTTTCTTTGGTCATTGATACGTACTTTAGCAATTTAATAAGTTATATCGCACCGTTATCAAGCCCCTGGTAAAATTCTGTGCCGTCTGTTCGACTATAGGGCGCTGTACGTCGAAATTAAGTTTTGGGGTGTATTATATGGGACCAAAGGGTGTAAGGTGATACCCTTTTTTTTTAGAGTGCACTTCCCTGACGTGGTCACTATCAGCTTGCCAGAACGTCTGCCGCCAAAGCAAGTAATGATGTTCTTTCTTCGAGATTGCGCCGGGACCCGACGACGGAGGCAGCTGATGGTCGCTGACGGAAGAATAAACCAGACAGGACTCCGCGGGTATGGGGAAGAAAAAAAAAAACACGTCTATTTACAAGTGAAGCTAATTTTCGAATGTCCTGTCGACTGCGCCAGTGAAGATGTTCTTTCATTGAGATTGCGCCGGGACCCGACGACGGAGGCAGCTGATGGTCGCTGACGGAAGAATAAATCAGACAGGACTCCGCGGATGAGAAAAAAAAAACACGTCTATTTACAAGGAAGAAGCGAAGGGCGCGAGCGTGCACAGCTTCGATCAGCGCTCTGCGAACAATCAGCTTCAAAGGCGAAAAATACCCCAAACCTTCCAGCAAGAACCACAACACCGGGTGCCTAAAGGTATTTGCTACCCGAGGACACCACGTTTATGGAAATCGGACCACCGCCTGGCCTTGTTCAGCCAATTCCTCCTACCGACGGGCCGGCGCCCCACTAACCCTAACGAGGAATACGGCACCTGCAGCAGGCCAGCGGCGGGGGCGGAGCCCTCCCCAAGGCACCGAGACCCAAGATGGATTACGTCGAAGTGGCAGGTGAGGACATCTCACCGGAAGAGTGTACAGCAGAGGCCGGCTGGCTCGTGAGCCACCGACAACGGGGCACACGAGCCCTCAACAAGCTAGGCCTCACGGCGACGAGCACAGCCAAAAACGACGCAGGTGGCCGGACAGGAAACCGAAAACCACTTCAGAGACACAGGAAACAGCGTCAGCAACCAGCCCTCCCACGCGAGGACATAAAAATCATTCTGCGGCCACGAGAGGGCCTCGATGTTACCAAGGTGAGCTCCGCGAGGCTACGCGACGGCGTATTTTGCGCCATCGGTCTCAAAGAGCAGGAAGCCGAGGGAGACCTGCTACGGGTCAACCCGGAGAAAAACATCATCGTGACAAGCACACCAAGCATGGAACGAGCTAAGAAATATAACTCCATTTCAAAAATCTGCATCGCAGGCAAGACCTATGAAGTCACCGCGTACGCGGCGCCGCCAGAGGATACTGCTAAGGGGGTTATACATAATATCCCAGATTATGACACCGCGGAAGACATTACGCGCAGCCTTGTCTACAACAAGAACCCTACCATCCTTCAGGCACAAAGAATGGGAAAAACCAACTCGGCGGTCATCGTCTTTGAGGGCAACAAAGTGCCCTATTATGTATATTACCGTGGAGCGGAGTACCGGTGTTTCTTACATAAAAAAAAGCACGAAGTGTGCTCCACCTGCGGAAAAGTGGGACACCGCATGGACGTCTGCCCGACGCCCGAAGACAAAATATGCCGCTCTTGCGGTGCAAAGAATCCACGAGAAGGGCATAAATGTGACCCCAAGTGTGCCCTGTGCTGTGGGGATCACCCCACTGGAGACAAAAACTGTAAGAACCGGTTCCAAACGCCGTACCTACTACGGAAGAGACAGCGAGAAAAAGAACGTCAGAATGGCGCTGGTCAATATGGCGGGCACCGAAACGCAGAGTCGACGTCCGTTCTGGGTGGCAGCGAGGGCGGCGGGAGAACGAAAGAAAGGGGGACGAGAGATCGTTCGGGCTCCTTCCCACGTCTACCCCACCGCGGATCAGGGAGCGACAACGACGCAGGACAGCGGCAGCAGCGCCGGTCAAGATCTAAGTCAAGATGCCGGAGCCCTAACACCCAAGGCCGACATGAGTCAAGATCGACATCCCGAGGCGGCCGACACGAGACTCCGGGAGGAACCAAGCAGAACAAGGTGAGCTGGGCTAGCACGGTCTCCCACAGCTCGGCTCCGCAGAATGCAAAGAGAAAGATTAGCAACCAAACTAGCGCGCAACAGGCAGACAGGCAGCAACAGGGGGAACTCACCAAAATCAAGCAAATGCTAGAGATGGTAGTCGCCGAGAATACAAAGCTAAAAGCTGAAGTGGCAAAACTAAGAGGAAGCGAAAACGCCGACAAACTAGTCCCCGAAACGCAGGGTCCCTCGAAATCGCAGGCCCCACCGCCAGACCAGGGCAAGGCAAACACACCACGACCCACACAGGTCCTGCTAGCTGAGGACTCGTCCAGTGACGAGATGGAAAACTCGGAGCCCGAGTCTCCTCCCCCGAAGCGTAAGGCGAAAGACCCAACAATAACAAACATCCCAAGGCTCCCAAAGAGAGCAGAAAAAAGGGACGCAGAGACACTGCAGCATTTCGGGGAGAAGCTGAGCGAAATGCTCACCACAAAATTCGAAGCCATGCTGGCGAAATTTGCCGAGAGCATAGGCACGCAAATCGCAGCACTTAACGCTAGGGTAACGGCGATTGAGGCCACCTCACCGCGCTTCACCGGCGGGGGAGGAGGAGCAGGGCCGATGAAATCCACCAAGCCTTACGCCAGACCCGTATCATTGGAAAGCGCTAGAACAAGCCTAGAAAGTACACAGCTTAAGGATTATGGCACCGAATAATCACAAATACATAATTTGGCAGTGGAATTGCCGCGGGTACCGCCGCAAAAGGGGGAACCTACAGCAATTCATAGACAATAAAATAGCAGGAGAGGCGCCAGACGTCATATGCCTGCAAGAAACGGGAGCTTTGGCTAAACTTTCGGGGTACAAACCGTACTACAGTGAGGAGGAACCGGCCTCGGACGATAAACGTATAACAGTAGCGACCCTCGTTAGACGTAATCTGCCGGTTATACGGCGCGATACCGGCATAACTACCGTGGACCACGTCCTCGTGGAGATCATCTCAAGCCAAAAAAGGGGCATGGGAAGCCTATTTGTATTAAACGTATACAGCAACCCACGCAAGCAACATAGATTCGCGAACCTGTTTCGCAAGACATTAGACATTGCAAAGCGTCAAACACTAGTGATAGTAGGTGATTTCAACGCACACCACCCAGCCTGGGGATACAAGCGGGAAATGATCAAAGGACGGAATCTCTGGCTGGATGCCCAGCAGGAGAGGCTGTCTCTGGTCACCGACCCCGCGTACCCCACTAGGTTGGGAAACAGCGTATGTGCGGACACCACGCCGGACCTAACATTCACAAAGAACGCTAAAAAGGAAGCCGAGTGGCTAAACACGCAGGAAAATCTAGGAAGTGACCACTATATAGTGGCCACAAAACTAGAAGCGGGCCCCCACAAACCAGAAAAGGGCACGCAGCTTAAGATCGTCGAGTGGGACGAGTTCAGGGAACTAAGAGCAGCCGAACGTTATTCATGCGAGGACAAAACAGGGACGCACGAGATTGAGGACATCGAGTCGTGGGTCGAACAGCTTCACGCATGCGTACAGAAAGCAACAAAGACCATTCCGGAGGAAGCCGAACTAACACAAGCCGACGCTAAGCTTCTGCACATGTGGGAAGCGAAGCAAGGCTTGCAGAAAAGGTTAAACAAACAAAAACTAAACCGCGCACTTCGTCGACGTCTAGCGATCCTTAATAAAACAATAGAGGACTACGCAAACCAGCTGTCGCTCCAAAACTGGCACAGCACGTGCGACGGTATGGAACTACAGATGGGCCTTGCAAGAACCTGGAATATCCTTAGGTACTTAATCGACCCAGATAAAAGTAAGACCACGCAGAAACACAATTTAAGTAAAATTCTGCACACCTACCAGGGCACGAACGATGACCTAATCAAGGAAGTCCGCAACAGATACATCGGGACCAATCCAAAAGAACAACTTAGAACATACGCTGGAGCCTCGAATGAGACTCTTGACCAACCGTTTACGACGGCGGAGGTGCGGGGAGCCATACTAGGTCTCCGCACCAAATCCGTTCCGGGTCCGGACGGGGTAACAAACACAATGCTGAGGAATCTAGATGACGACTCCATCGAGGCTCTCACCAAGTACATGAACAAGTGCTGGAAGGACGGTAAAATCCCCACACAATGGAAGACCGCTAAGGTTATCATGATACCGAAACCGGGCAAAAAGCTAAATCTGGAGACCCTGCGGCCCATCTCGCTCACCTCATGCGTGGGGAAGCTGATGGAGCACACAGTGTTAAACAGACTAAACAAGTATATGGATGAGAAGGGACTCTTTCCCCATACCATGATAGGTTTTCGGCCCAGGCTCTCGACTCAAGACGTGATGCTGAGGCTCCAACATCAAATTATAGATGGGGAGGAATGTTCCCCGCTAGACACCAGGGCCATTGTGGGGCTCGACCTCACAAAGGCGTTTGATAATGTAAAACACGCAGCAATTCTAGAGAACTTAGAACAGTTGGAGGTAGGTCAAAGGACCTACGACTACATCAGGGATTTTTTATCTGACAGGACGGTCACCCTGACAGTAGGGGGGGTTGAGTCTGGCGAGCTGGAGTTGGGGAGCAGAGGCACGCCGCAAGGCTCTGTCCTCTCGCCTTTCCTCTTCAACGTCGCTATGATCGGCCTGCCCAGCCTCTTAGAGAAAATACATGGCCTAAATCACAGCCTGTATGCTGACGACGTCACACTCTGGGTGGCTGGCGGCAGCGACGGGCACGTGCAGGACACACTACAGCAGGCAATAAACGCGGTGGAAGGGTACGTGGAACCGAAAGGCTTAAGCTGCTCCCCACAAAAATCGGAGCTGCTCCTTTATCGGCCAACCCGGAGAGGGCAGAAAAAGGAAGCAACCACCGAAAAACCACGAATTCATCTATACGCTTGCGGGGGGCTGCCCATCCCGGTAGTACACAGCATTAGGGTCTTAGGCTTGAAAATTCAGGAGAACGGCCACAACATCGAGACAATCCGAACACTCGAAAAAAGTGTGTGTCAAACCACCCGCCTCATTTCGCGGATAGCCAATAGGCATCACGGAATGAAGGAGGGCAACTTAATCAGGCTGGTCCAGGCATTCGTCCTGAGTCGAGTAACCTATGTCGCTCCCTTCCTTGACCTCAAGGCAGATGAGCGCAACAAAATCAACGCTTTAATAAAAAGGGCTTACAAGCAGGCAATTGGCATACCAATCACGACCTCCAACGAGCGCTTTGAAGCACTAGGATTGCACAACACGCTAGACGAGCTTGTAGAAGCACAGAGGATAGCGCAGATGGAAAGGCTCACCAAGAGTCCGACTGGCAGACACATCCTTCAGACGCTACATATCAACTACGAAGGAAGACTTGGGGAAAAACACGACATTCCACCCGATATCAGGGTGCATATACATATCCCACCATTACCAAGAAACATGCACCCCGAACACAATACGGAACGCAGGCAGGCCAGAGCACAAGCACTAGATAAAAGGTTCGCACACCTCGAGGACGTGGTTTACGTGGATGCCGCAGATTACAGTAGTCGCGACGCCATGGCCACATCGGTAGTTGATCGAGAGGGCAAGTTAATTAATTCTGGCACGGTCTTCACGACTTCATCCGAGGTTGGGGAGGAAGCAGCCATTGCACTGGCAATGACCTCGTCCTCCCAGATCAAATTCATAGTAAGCGACTCCAAGCCGGCAATTTTAAATTACACGAGGGGACGCATATCGTCCGAGGCACTCAAAATTCTACGGACCGGTTTCCACGGAGATCGAGTTAGGGGAGTTCACATCGTATGGGCGCCAGCTCACTCTGGCCTCCCGGGGAATGAGAAGGCGCACGACGCGGCTCGAGGCTTAACCGACCGGGCCGACGTCACCAACATCTTTGACGCACACTCGTTCCGCCGGTCGGACAGAGACAGGCTGGTTGCCTATCGGGACGTGATTAACCACTACAGGCTGGGAAGGGCTAAATACCCCGCAGCAGACAGGACTCTGTCCAAATGGCAGGCAGTGGCGTGGCGCCTTCTTCAAACTAATACATTTCCAAACCCCGTGGCGTACAGTCACTGCTATCCGGGGCTTTACTCCAGCGCATGTAAGCATTGCGGGGACAGGGCCGACCTGCAACATATGGTCTGGGCCTGCCCCTTTAAAAAACATAGAAACAACAGAAATAGAACTCAAACTTTAATGCTAAACATTAGAACCTCCGAGCAGTGGGAGACCGTGCTGCTCAGCTCGGACCCGGGTGAACAGGTCCGTCTGGTCCAGATGGCCGAGGCCGCCGCCAAGGAACAAGAACTCCTGGCCGCCGACTGAGGGGGGAGAGGGGGAGGCTCTCTCAGCACTCCCCCTTCCCTGACCCCATCTATGGGCAAATTAAATGTTGTCATCATCATCATCTATTTACAAGCCAAGCGAATTTCCGAATGTCTCGCAAAAGGTTACAGCACGTGCTGTCCTTGTCTTCTTCTCTTCTCAAAGCGTCCCCTGCCCCAGCTCGCACGAGCGTCGCCAGTTCACCCACACACAGGGGCACACGTGCAAACGCCAACAGGCAATGGAAAGAAAATGAAGCTCGGTCCTGTTCCCGCGTCCACTCACAATGATGGCGGGGCCGATTCTCACAAATACAATTTTAGATTTAGTCCTAGAGTGAATAGCTCTTGTAAGATGTTTCTGAAAACGTGTTAAACAATTTGCATGCTTACTAATTGAATATGGTTGGCGGAAGATTTTAAATATATTTGTACATCTCGTTGTTCTTCTGACATTGAGGTCGCAAAGACATTTCTTTTTAAGATTCGCTCTTTCGTTCTTTCGTGTCTTAATTTAGGAGAGAGAGAGAGAGAAAACTTTAATGACTGAGGAAATGGGTCAAGGGGAATAGAGGTCCTGGTGGAAGTGGTGGGCGGGGGGCCGAAGGCCCATCCCCTCCTATACGTCCTCTCCTTAATTTAGGTTGGTGGTCCCGTGGTGGCGGTCGGCCGAGGTTTCCCGGCGACCTCTTCCGCCCTTTTGACCAGGCGGGCCTAAGCTACACCGAACGTCTGGCCGCCATGTAAGCGAGATACCACAAATAGTTCCTATACGAACGAGCTTAATCGCTTTTTCACAGGGCGTATATCACTGGACGCTGAGAGTATTTCATAAATTGAAGCTGAAGTAAGGGTGCGATTTTCAAAATCGAACTTATCAAAGTTTACTCCGCTAAAACAAATGTTCACGCCTTCAAATTTTGTGTGGTAGCTAGCAGATAAAAAAACAAATACTGAAATGCACATATGACGCTATCTAAACTATTTTTTCTTAAAACAGCCATAATCATGAGAACTTGCAGGTATTTGTTTTTAGGACACACAAACTATATTTTAGGAATGATGGGAGGAAGGGAACTGAAAGGTACTTGACAGTCATATCAATGTTTAATATTTCGGCAGATTGAACCTAATACAAAGATAATTACCTTCCTAATACTAATATACAACTCTTGGGTACGTCTCTTGTTAGACCTTCTTATTTTTTAGCTGATTAACCCTCGCAATAATATAACATGAACAACAAATGCGATATTTCTGTAAAAAAAAACCTTCTAAACAATATTAATTTTTTGGTACGTGATCAATTGTCAAAACAGAAGGTCGCGAAGTCGCTTTTTTCACGCCTGGGTTTT